TTTTTTTTTTAAAAATCCTATGAAAGGGGAGGTCGATTTCTGGCCCACCGTGCTACGGAACCCTAAAAAAACACCCTGTTGTTATTTGGAACATGAACACAAGCTTATCATGATCAAGTATTATTCAAGTCATTTAGTCTCTATTGCAAGAACTCGACCTTATCCAATTCACCAGAGGCAAATGGAGGATTCGAAAAGTCCTTATGCGGGTCAACCGGGTTTTGGGATTGAGGCCTGATATTCCGATTTCTTCCTAATGACATTCACGGGAAGAATGGTGGTAGTCCTGTGTAGCTAGCACGAAAGACTTTCGTCTTCGAATCGTTTGCGTATTTGAAAAAATGCGATACCCAGCCTTCGCATTCAACGATAATGTGACGACCTCGACTGTCAAAATTAGTTTCATTATACCATTTTTCATACAGAGTTCACTTTAGGTCACGTTCACTTGGCACTGTTTAAGTTTTCATACTAAATCTTTTGATTGCGATTCGAATACGCAAACGATTAGAAGTGGAAAGTCTTTCGTGCTAGAGGTACTGATGACTGTGACAGAACCACACACTTACTTTCATTAAACAAATTAAAATATACAAAATGTAAAAATAAGAAACGCTTACCTGTCCAACATCACTATTAAGTACAGTCTTCGGCACCTTTTCAAGTACATACGCCCAACTCAGCAGATAATATTGCTTTGTCTCATCCTCCACTGGCCCGACTGTACTGGTTAGTGATTTGAAGTTCTGGTAAAACCTTTGCTTGTATAACAAACCAGATCTGCAATGCTGTTTTCTGTTCAGGTAATCGGGGTAGTCAGTCATGATCAGTTGGATAGCTTCGCAGCCGTGTTGACTGAATTCTGGTGATGATAGAGTGGTCATGATCTGAAATAGTGAAGGAACTTATTCAAAAGCAATAAATTTTAGTGCATAATAGAATAATAGTGTAGTAGACTAAACAGTTACATTATAAAATCGCTATACTTTTCGTTCGCGTTCGTTTCATCCACAAAGACGCGCTCCACCAATTTTTGGTCTTGGTCGCGCGGGGTGCGGGGAGTTTGATCCGAGCAATGCGAGCGGCATTATTGTAGTGTGCATGTGCACTGATGGATGATTTTAGCGTGTACCGATAACACTCAAAATGGTGGGGCGCGTCTTCGTGGATGAAACGATCCATATTATATCAGAATAGAATATAATAGTTTATTTCAAAGAATATGGTTACAATAATTCTTAAAATGACAAAGTTATATTCTGTCGTATTTTGTTGGCGTAGAAATATTATAAACCATAGGTAATAAAATTACATCATTAGATATTAGCGTGATGTGTCGGTATCGGCACATACAACTATTACAACTGAAAATACTGTAGCGTTTAGCTTGAAGTATCATGCAGACTACAAAAATCCGCTAACGCCTAATTCTAGTACAAATAATGGCGTCAATTTAAAGAAAAGAGGTCTTCCTTATCTTTTAGCCTATTCTAAACACACACATTTACATATCACACTATGATGAAATTGTCGTTAACTAGCTTGTTTATTGAGATAAGTCTTCTAAATTGAAGCACTTATCTTAATGTTCAAGGTAATTAAACTGGTACTGATGAATTGTGTTCTAATACATCACGTATTTGATAAACCACTTTAATTTATATTTGTTGGTTAGTTCTATAAGATTTAGGCAATTTAATACAATAAATATTATTTTATAGACTTTCTAGTTGTAGTAACATTGTGTTATTGAGTTTATTAAATAGTTTTCTTACCTTTTGCAGCCAAAATGTAAACAGTTCATTTCCTCTCATAATTAAAGCCTTTGTTATCCATCCATACAAAACTATTAGTCTTGATGATAAAGCTTGCTCTCTATTGCCCTTAGAAAGAAAATTCTTCAACAGTTCATACAAAAGTTCGAACTTCTGACCATACTCAGCCTTATTCAAGAAATGTGCCACTATTACACAAGCTTTAGTCCGAATAATATCATCGTTACTATCTAACGATTGAGTTAGAGCCATCGTCATTATGTCCTCGAAACTAGAATTGTACACACTCTGATGAACAGAACTATACAGGCAGTGTACCAAGTGAAAATTGGCCTCATCACTTTTAAACTTTTCCAGAATATTCTCTGTGTGCCTTGACAATATTTTCTGTTGCTTCTCTTCTTGTAAACTACTCACTGTATTAGCTATTAACATAAAACCGTGCGACAAGGCCTCCTGTGATCCTGTATGCAGTTCTGAAGTAACCCAAGATAATATAGAATCAATAAGACCATGATCACTCTCGATTTCAGATAATTTCTCATTAGAATATAGACTAGCATTGGACATTGATTCATTCATAGCCTCTACAACTTTAAATGCTTCCGTATCTTTAGTAACAATGACCTTTAACATTTCCTCAATGATTATCTTCGTAAAATCATCTATACTGGCCAAGTTGGACAGCAAATTCAAACGCTTTTCCAACGCAACTTTATCTTGGGTCAGATTCTCTAAATCA